GTGCATGTGTGTGTGCGTGCATGTGTGTGTCCTTGGTTTTGGCACCTGGGTTTTCCCATTACATGCCTGGCTGTGTCACAGGATATTTATTTCCCTGCACATAGGTCGTAGCAGTCCCTTACTCCACAGTGTGTGACACCATTTCCTGCTTGACGGCTCTATCTACCACCCAGCCGAGGAACCTACACTGAGCATCATCTTCAGGGGAAGATTGTTCACTCACGAATGGATACTGATGCCCCTGTGCTCATTAGAAATGTAAGTCAGAGCCTAACAGCATCTGTCTCACACTCTCTTGGGCAAAAAGAGAAAACACTCTCTCTGGCCCACCACCCAGTCTTTCATACACTCAAAGTGTATCACTCACAAACACACACACACATAAAGATGTTTGGACATTCCTGGGAGAGTAAGCTGTTGTGGGCCGAGCAGAGCCAGTCTGTGAAGTGGATTACTCACTGGAGCTGATGGTCCTGATGAAGCTCTATTAGTCGCTCGTTAGCAAGGATGGAACAGGGAAAATAATGGAGAGGGACAAAGAAAGAGCTCAAGGGAGGTCAAACAAATGCAGAGTGTGGACAAAAACAACTTGCAATAAAAAAGTCCTGCACTAAAAATTAATTTATTTTATTTTGATTGTTTAGTCAACCCTTAACATATGTACTTACTTACATATCATAACTGCATCAAGTCTGAACTGCAAATTTGTGTAACAAGTATCACATATAGACAGAAAAAGTGACAAAAACCTTGAATTTAAGCTAGAGGACTACTACAGTGTGCATGTTTCTATTATTTTGTCCACTCCCTGTAAACCTTGGTTTTATTGAGATATTGATCCAGACTTGTCTGATACACGACCAAACCTAGATTTAACCTTTGCCACCCACTGATACACCTTAACCACTCTTTAAATAAAATATATTATTATTGACTCTTCCATATCCATATCAGTTATCACTAGTGTGTTTGTGTGTGTTGTTAAACCAGGCATTTTAGGCTGCAGCAATTCCATAAAAAGCCTGTGAAATCCTGGAGGGACTGACTTACCACATCTTGATCCCCTGAGGTTCTCATTGCCATCATGTGTTTGTGTGTTTCCATGCACACTGGCCTGTGAAAGACGGGAGAGAAAAGGACTTGGCTGGACTCATTACAAGTTCTTGGAGACTTCACACAGAGTGTGTGACAGCAGCCTGAGGGCTGCAGCCAGCAGGGTGCAGCTCCTCTACTCATCCAGCAGGACACACTAATCAAATCAGATTAAGGCTGGAACTGATTATATATGGGCACACATTCTTCCAGAGCAGCCTCAGACAAGTTGGCATGGCATCCAGAGTCATCTGCCATCTGCCCTCGTTAGTGTCCACTTGATAGTGTTTGTAGGGTCACTTCAGCCAAACATACAAACTCTTTCTACCAAAGTAATAGGTCCAGTTAAATCTACTTACAGTGAGGTCCTTGGATTATTCAGTCTCATTTTTCATTGTTATCTTGAGCATCATGTAACATTTAATTCCCCTCCACATTGGGGTGCCAGCAGATATCTCATAATCTCAGCAAATAAAACTAAATTTCCAATGGGGGAACAAATCCTTTTAACCTTTCTCAAAGTTGGACTAGATCTTGTGCTGGTTCCTGCCTTGTTTTTGTATCCATAGTAGCATCAGGTTTCAGGTCAAGAAGCCTGTGAACTTTTAAAGATTTTATGCTGCATCATCAAAGTGTCTTCAAAGAAGGAAGGATTAAAGGTGGAACCAATACAAGCAAAGAAACTATACTTGCTGTTTCTCATCTTTTGTTATCGAATGCAATGCCATAGTTCAGTCGTTCCCTAAGGGTGTTATTGACAAAATGTCCTCTTACGCAAGTAAATCTCAAGTCTAACGGTGCCAAAAGAGCAGATTAAGGAGTAGAGAGAAAAAGAATGTGCAAGAGCTATCCTAAGTTTTCTTGCTCATCATTTGTATTGACTTGTTTTCTCAGGTTGTTCTCTCTAAGTCTCTCATTACTGGAGACATTTGTCCAATGTGGACCCATCAGAGGCCGCAGATGGGAGCTCTGCTACACTGATGTTATCGATTGGTAGACGGACAGATCCATATCCCTTGTACATTATCATTCACCTGACCAGAGAGCAACAATCATCAGTGTGGAGCAGAGTCAACGATGATGGGTGCAGTAATGTGACAGACACCTCCAGGTGCTGAGTCTGGGTATTGATTAATAACTCAGATTTAAATCCCAATAGATCTCACATACATTATTTGTTTTATCTAAATAAAAAGGCTTCTCACTGTGAGCAATGTGGTATAACAGTTAGAGAAGTAAGCATGTGGTCACTGGTTTAATCCTCTGGATCAGGTTCAAGCATGCCCCTTCCTGTTTACCACCACTGAGGTGCCCTTGAGCAAGGCCCTTAACCCCAACCACTCCAGTGGAGCTGCACAGTGGCCAGCAGATGTGATTGTGGTTGTACTGGCATTTAAACTGCCACCTAAATACATTAAGGTAAAAAAAAATTAATAAAAAACATGAGCAGTGCCTGCTCTTCCAGCTGCAGCACCTGGGGCCCTGGGCCAGGATTAGCAGGGCGAAATGATTGCATTAACCCAGACAAAGATCATCCCAGCAGAGTGGGAAACAATGATTTAGATAAACGGATACAACTCTAAAATTGATTCCCATGTCCACCCCAACAGTTGCTTAATCTTAGCTATCTCAGTGATGAATCTGAAAGTCTTATCTTCACTGGTAGTGGTGTGGTGATTGATTGAAGAGACTGCTGCAGTCAGTCAATGTTTACAAGACTTATACAAGCACACCAGGACTAATGCATTTCTAATAGGCCGCAAGAGGAGCAGTCTGCCAAGATGCATTCACTTTGCATGACTGAAAAACTGTTGCAGATTAGAGGTGGTCCAATTTATATGTACTGCCAGTTGCCACGTTGACAAAAACGCTAGCGACAAAACTCAGTAAACTTCAGTAGCCGTTCGTGAGCTTTCAATCATATCAGTGGATTTGTAGATGTCTAAATTTCACTTTTTTTCTTAGCACTTCCATTCTGGCTTAAAATTCGCTGTTCGAAGTTCATTCTTGACCTTGGAAAACCCCTGAAGATTCCACAATATTTATGATGTTGAAGAATTCTTTCCACTTTATTAAAGTTTGAATAAGATGTTGTGAAAGTACAAGTACACAAAGTACATGGCAAAAACTGACGTGAACATAGACATTCTTCATCCAGAACTTGTATTTGTCTTTTAATTATTCGAAAGAACAATGACGTCTGTATTTCTGAAATGCCTTACTTTTGTTGCAGCTTTTATTATATCCCTGCACACCAGGAAACACATCTGTCAAGAAGAAACAAAACCTAACAGAGCTAAAACGGTCCCAGTCACCTGTCTCTGCCTCTCACTCATTTAAAAAAAAAAACATATACATTTTAGTCAAACCCCAGCATGATATTTTCTTTTTTGATGTCCTCTTTATGTCACTAAACCACCCTCATCTCTCTTCTGTTCCCACTTTAACACACATACGCACACACATAAAAAACTATTGTTCTATTTTGGTGAAAAGCAGTCTCAGCAAGTGAACATGTCACACGCAAGTCTTTTGTTCCCCTCTGCCGTCGCTCAGGATCTAATTCTGGTGAAGGTTGACACCTCTTGATGTTGTAAAATGGACGGGTACTTTGTTGTAAACCAGAGCCCATGAATAACTTGGGATGGCTTTGAAGAGCAAGAGCATCACCGAGGAAGGGGAGGTAATGAAGAAGAGCTGTTTAATGTGGCAACAAATGAAGTGAACTTTGCCTCGGGTGTCTGTTTTTGGGCCATGAGGTTTGCTCCTCTAATTGCTTGTGAGTTTTCGAAAGTCACCATATGGTCTGGGTTGTCAGGCTTTGATAAAGAAGACATGTGGGGGGAATGAAAGATGGATTATGAGGTACTGAGGACCACAGGGGATAACTAGCTGATGCACCAATAAATCTTTTAGATTTCCCCACTGCCAGCCCCACCCAAGGCTGCACCAAATGAAATGCCTGATGGGTAGAGGGACTGTCTTCCAACCAGGTGACCTGATGAGTTCAAGACCATCTGGAGGGTTAACAAGTATCATCTTTTCTGAGAAAAAAAAACACTCTTAAGTTTCCCATACAGTAAACAATAAGGCATTATTGTCACATGGAACAAATCCAACTTCTGCACGTCCACCAGAGAGTCCCACAAGACAGAAATGCTTCTAATCAAAGTCATAGGTGTCATTTTTGTTTCTTTTTCTCTCCGTTTGTGCATTTTAAAAGAATTTCCTGGAGTAACAATTCTTCATGTTTGTCTCATCACAGGTGTGTGAGGAAAAAGGGACAGAGAAAAATATCTACCATTGGACCATTTTTTCTTTTTTTCATGCTGCATTGTGTGGGATTGACACAAGACTAAGGCAAGCCAAATCCAGCCCTGTGCGTCTATATTTACCACTGCAGAACCTGCCAGTGTGTGTAGGATGACAGCATGCATAGCACTTCAAGAGGAAAATATTGTCAAGATGGCTTGCTGCAACAGCCAAGGAACAGCGGAAGACTACTGTAGCAATCTCAGGTAAGACGCTCAGCTGTTTAAGAGTCCCCCAGGAGCCTTCAGTCAAGAGTTATTGAGATACAGGACCTGCGGAAAGTTTCTGCTCTAAACCAGGAAAAATAGGAGAGGTTTAAAATCTGTTTAAAGTTGTTTATTTTCTTTCACCTTGCCAGTAAATTCCTCCAATTAATTCTTGCTGAGGGCACCACACATGCAATCTTTTAAGTTTTTTTTCCTCGTCTCTAATATATAGGTCAGCCTAGTGTTTATTCTTAACTTAAATCTTAGTTGTTACAAAAGTTAAATAATAAACATTGTGGCTGATAATCCCAAAGCTTTTTTTAGATTAAGTGTGGCGATCTAGCACCATTAGAGCACTTAAACAGACTTTAAACGCAGCAAAATCAACATTTAATAAGGTACTTGTTTATGTCTGTGATGTGTTTCACCTGCTATCATGGATTATGCCCGTCGGATGTTTTACCTTTGCAAAAACTAATATGGTTTGCACACATGTTGTGATATATTAGTAAAAATGTATTTTATTTTCCACAAATGTAGTCTTAACAGTTACCCTTAAATACTGCACATTGTTATGTATGAATGTAATCTGGATTTGAATGGATACAGAGAAGGAACTGAATTGGGAGATTAATTCAAAAAGTAAAATAAAAATGTGAAACAAAAGACAAACAATAAAAATAAACTAATAAAATACAATCCCTATTTTATTAGTGCAGAATACTCCCTATAAGATATAATACAACTATATCCCAGAGCAGAAGTTATGTAATAAGAGAGTCCAATTTTCTGTTTGCATAAACACATTTATTTAAATTCTTATGTCTGTCACTGGATACAAGTTTCAATAGACTGGATATTTTTACTGTCACTTAATGACAACAGAACAGCTTATATGCAGTTCTTAAAAATATGGTGTTTAAAAAACCTAAAGATGGTTCTTAAATTTGTGAAAATGAGATTACCATTGTGCCATTTTGCTTAGTGACATTAATTTGCTGCGAATTGGCATTCAGCCTAATGTTTAGGAGGTTTAATAATGAAATAACACACAGCAGCAGAAATATTAGTGATATTATGTATAATAACTGTCTGTATTACGCTATTTTAGATGGCTGTGAATAAAGTAAATCTAGTGCAAATATGCATTTGAGTAATTACAAAGGCTCCTCACACTGATGTTCCACCCACACAGGTGTTTTCACTTTGTCTTATTAGACTTCTCAGTACTGTGTGAGGGTGTACAGTGAGCTACAACTTGCGTCTTAAATCATCCTCAATAGTTACTGAAGTTTGGTGACCTCATGTCATTTTCAGCACGGCTCGATCTAACTTCAACCAAGAGCAGACGGCTATATTAGAATGAGTGAAAACACCTGATTGAATGTGCAGGACCTTCAATTATCTAAATAATCCTCACAATACCATACCAAGCTGTGCTAGCAAATCAAACAGTTGCTTAAAATCAATTCAAAACTACATCTGAAAAAAGGAGATTGGGTTGAGCTCACATTTAGATAAGGTAATAAAATTAAGCAAAATTATTGTCTCCTTTCAGTGTATATAAACAGAAAATAATGAAAGCAATTCAATGCAGGCAAGATTTGTACAAAGATTTCATGTTTAATTCTTACAATTAGATAACTTATACTCATTATACATATGTACAGTAATTACATTTTAAGTAGATAAATGTTTAATTCAAAATCAAGTCAGTATGAAACATTTAAACAAATATTAATTCACATTGTTTTCATACCTCTGGAACTGGTAAACTCCAATGATTGTTAAATTATTAATGCATCACAGCTTTTATTTATTAACATGGAAATAACAAATTAGGTGTGTCAAACTAACATGTCCGATCAAGCTAAAGTCACACGCTGTCCAGGTTTAAATGTGACTGAGTGAAGAGATTTTCGGTCTCCTGTTCCGCCAAACGCTTCATACCTAAAATTTAAAAACAAAAGATTTATTAAAACATAGTTTCTTTGTAATATATACACCGATCAGCCATAACATTATGACCACTAACTGGTGAACACTGATTATCTGGTTATCATGGCACCTGAACATTTTGTCCTCAGAGTTGATGTGTTAGAAACAGAAAAATGGGCAGTGTGAGGATTTGAGCAACTTTGAAAAGGGCCAAATTGTGATGGCTAGACGACTGGGTCGGAGCATCTCCAAAACTGCAGCTCTTGTGGGGTGAACCGGACACAGGGTCATGGGTAGCCAAGGTGTTGGTACGATCCAACAGACGAGCTACTGTTGTTCAAACTGCTGAAAAAGTTAATACTGGTTCTGACAGAAAGGTGTCAGAACACACAAGTGCATCACAGTTTGTTGGTCTGGGGCTACAGAACATTATGACCATCAGGGTGTCCAGGTGGTCATAATGTTATAGCTGGTTGGTGTATTATATCTTAAACAGTTAAAAGTCACCCTAAAATGCCAAACTCAGATTTGATAGATTGATTTAACACAAAGAAGGATCTACAGTATTTGCCTTTTTTTTTTTCAACTTTAAGATATTTATTCCTTCACTTGACACGAGAGAGATGAGTCAGCCACTATAAATAGTTGACTGTGCAATTTCTCTGCTTCAGCTCAGCTGTAATTCTAGTGATTTCACAAAATACACAACAAAGTAATTAAACTTGATAAAAATACTGTGAGAGGAATTATAATAATGATTCATATTCCTCTATTGCTGCTACTTGGCAACAGCTCTGAAACACCAATTTGTCAAATGTTTTCCATTCCCTCCTGTAGGTGAGACTCTCTAAATGACTTTTAATTATATGGTTGATAGATTCCAGAGCCAACTGAAACTATTAAAGACACACTGTCTTCCAAAAGATGACAGTGGTTTTATATATCAACATTAGTGTCATTTGTATTGCTGCGCCTGTTGCAGTCCAGTCTGGTGTGATCATACTCACAGTTTTGTGTATCTGTTCCAGTCGGCTTTGCCGAGAGATGGTCTGGTCACAGCCAGGGCGGAGTTCACATGAGCCGGACACAGCATCAGACCTGGCTGGCTGGAGGCTGAATGTACCCGGGCATAGTCCTCCTATTCACACACACACAAAGTACAAGAGTAACTTACATAAGCAATCTGACAACACTGGTTGATACAATAGCCGTGAGTAGAGTTGTGTAAAATACAATAAGCTAGTTTTAAATCAATATAAAAATAATACAGAATGTTAACTGAGTACTAAATAATCAGAATACAACAGCATTTAGATATTTTCTGCTCCACTGTTGTCACTTACGTTGGTTCTTTTGTAGTTGTTCTTGATGTTACTAATGTCTTGTTGTAGGCGCTCCAGCTGCTCCGGGCCGAGCTCTTCATACCCGCTCTGGAGAGAGGACATGTAGGCAGGTGGGAGTGAGCCGCCAGGGTCACGAATTGACGCCCTTGTAAAGTCATGGGTCACGGAGTTGGGTCCAGAGACACACTGGGAGTTCTGTGAAGGGAGGCAGAGGAGAGGAAATGGACAGACACAAAAATGATGACCACTGAATCGCACCACTGCATTTAGGAGAACATAATTCAGAGGCCTGTGTTAATGTCCATACATACTGTAATATTTTTAAACACTATATTTAGAAGTGTACGTAATTCAGAGAATTTGTTCCTAGCCATGCATAGTTAACTCAAGATATTCCCACAAGAATTTGCTGCAAATTAAATTAGAAATTAACTATTAATGAACTATTCCTTCAAATAAGTTGAAAAGTTGAAAGGACATCTCAACTAGCATACAACTGTATTACGCTTCATCTTCTCAATCAGCTCAGGCTCTGGAGCGACTGTTTCTGCGTCTGTTCTGTTTTTTTCTGCAAGCTGCAAGTAAATAAGGCACACAAAAAAAGAAAAAGATAATCTGTTCTAAATGTTCTAATAAATTATCTGATTCTGATAAATATGAAACCCATGCTTGCCAAACCTGTTCAGTTTGTATTCCCCCCACCACTACCACATAATAAAATATCAAAATCTAACCATCCTGTATATTTAATAGAAACAGTATCACTGCTGTTTGTGATATTTAGTGAGTAGAGAAGCAGAATAGCTTGTTGACCAGTGCAGGGAAATGCGCCACTTGTGTGAACTGCCAGGCTTGTGCTTGCACACAAACTGACCTATCGCGGCCTCTTGTGTGTCCTCGGCGTCACACAAAGAAATCTGTGATCTCATTATTGCGTACACTGCATTTTAAGGATTTTCAGACTAGGTTGATATTTCAATGTTATTTTGTTTGTTGCTGACTTATGTGTTGATTAATTACAATTAGACTAAATGTGAATAAAAATAATAGAAAATACTTTTTGGTATTTTGCCAGCACTGCTCACCAGTCCTGAAATCGGCGAATTCCCCAACTCCGACTCATAGGAACTTCCAAAGTACAGTCTCCAGACGTTGCTACGATGATGTTCGTCGTCCGCCTGAAGCTCACTGGGCTCCAGGAGAACCATCGACTGGTCCAGCCCCACGGCTGGGTCTCCCTCCCCCACCGAATCATCTGAGCCACTGCTGTTGTTCGGGAAGATCATGGAGGACAGACTCATGTCGCTGTCTGAGCCAGAGGTCAGCTCCTGATAATCACCCAGAAACAGAGGGCCAAAGTTGAGATGCACAAGCACACATGATTCTATAGTGCCTGAACACATCGGAACAAGCCAAGTGGCTTCACTGTTATTGTAGTTCAATCATGTACTTGTCAACATAGTTAGGGATCATTTATATTATGTTGTAAACTGATAATGGAATAAGAAGTAGAGCAACTCACACGAGGAGATGCATACAAAACTCCTAATTTAATTAGCCTTCAGGGACAAAAAAAAAAATAAAATAAAAAAATAACAGTGCTTGGCTGCTTCAACATGAACCATAAATAATTTGAAAATGGACTGGCCAACACTTCCCTGCCTCCTTGCTTTATTAGCCTGAGGCAACCCCATCTCGACACAATGAGTTTTTCAGTGACTTGTCTTTTTTATACAATAGACTTACATGCTGTGTGCTAGAGTCCAGGCTGCTATGAACAGCCTCCAGCTGGGCGTTGTAGAGCAGGGCCTTAAGGTCTGCCCCGGTGAAGTGCTCCGTCGCTACTGCCAGCTGCTCCAGGTCCACATCAGCAGAGAAGGCAACGCCGGTGCTCAGAGCCTTCAGGATCTCCAAACGAGCCTCCTGGAAATGTGACACAAGAGAAAACAGTTTGATAATAGTTGGATTTAATACCAAGCACCTGTCCTGAATCCCCACTTATCATTAATTCAGTCACTATAAAATGTTCTGCCATTGACATATCTTAATTAAAGGACAATTCCGGCGCAAAATGAACCTGGGGTATAACACATGGCTACCGAGTTTGGTCCGTTCTCTGGGATATGTTCATTCTAACCACGTGAACCAGTTTTAGCACAGACCTCTAATTACGGTATAACACTAGTCAACGGGGGCACAGGAGTAAAGTGAAAAGAAAGCTATTTATACCACTAACAAGGCTCAAAATAGCACACAACTTACACGTAGCATAATGGAGGGCCCCTATTGTAACCGGAATCATTGAGAACTTTGTAGTTGTACAGAACAGTTTATTTAAAAAGATAGGGTTTTAACAACAGTAGCTCACGTACACAGGTGGGCTGCCATCTTTGGGAGAACAGTCACGTGACCAGGTCGAATTTGCTTCAATTTATCTGAAATAATCGCACCGATGTTAAAACATTAACTTGTCTTTTAGTGCTACTTACTCAGTGTATAACTGTCCATCTGGTGCTGCTGGTTTGTGGTGCTATTTTGAGCCTTTAGTGGGGATATAGAAATAGGGCTTTCTTTTTCACTTTACTCTTGTGAACCGTTGACTAGCGTGTATACGGTAATTAGCCGGTTTGTTGCTAAAACTGGTCCACGTGCGATTGCATGGAAAACATATCACGAGAACGGACAACTCGGTATGTTATTAACCCCAGGTTCATTTTGCGTCCTGTGTCCTTTAAAGTATAAAGTGTAATGTTAAAGTGTTATAAAAGGATGATTAGAAGTGATTGACTGATTTTAATTAAATCAGACCTGGTCAGGAGGGGGACAGTAGAGGGACTTGTCCAGGCGTCCAGGTCTCAGTAGGGCTGGATCAATCAGATCTGGACGGCTTGTGGCTGCAAGCACATATACACCTACAAATGCAAAGGTGAAGGATTGTTATGTATTCACATTAAAGAAATAATCTGTCATATTGAACAATACCTGTACACATATTCACTACCAGCCAAACTAGCTTTTCCAGTCAACCAGTGTTTCCAGTCTTCATGCTAATCTAACCAGCTACTGGCAGTAGCTTCATATATCTCTTTTTAACTCTCAACACAAGGCAAATAAGTGCATTTCCCAAAATATTGGACATTTCTTTAAAAACATGACTGCAGCACTGCATAGTAAAATGTGTCAACAGAATCATTGCTCTAAGCGCTTCAAAGTGAATTCTCAGTACACATTATGTAGTATACTGCTGTGTGACCTACCCTGCAGTCCCTCCACCCCATCCAGCTGGGTGAGGAGCTGGTTGACCACACGGTCAGTGACACCTGTGCTGTCGTGGCCCCTCCTGGGGGCCAGAGAGTCAAACTCATCGAAGAAAAGGATGCACGGCTTGGCAGCTTGCGCCCTGGAGCAAACAGAGGAAAGGAAATTATTCCATTATCAATCATGAATGGTTGTTGTTGGTTGTGGAGCTTACAATTACAATAAATATTTAATGTTACTCATTATAACTAGCAACTATAAAGGTCTTCTGGAGTCCTAAGAAAGTGATGAAGTGTAAATGTTCACTAACCTCTGGAAGACATCGCGGACTCCCTGCTCACTAGCTCCAATGTACTTACTCAGAAGTTCAGGTCCCTAGAGAGGTAAACATCCTGCGTCACTGAAGATACAAGTTGCTCCAATTAATTTTTTTATTTTTTACTGTCAGAGCCAAAGCCTACCTTGATGCTGATGAAGTTCATACCACTGTCTTTGGCCACAGCCCTGGCCAGCAGGGTCTTCCCTGTACCAGGAGCTCCGTACAGCAATATTCCTGAGCGATGGCGGATTGGAAGATTGGAGAACAGGATGGGATACTGCAACACAACAGAGACCCACAATAAATTATAAAAAAATTTTTGTATTTTAGACTTCATAGATTAAATATAAAATAAGAAAACATGGAAAAGTCAGACTGTGTATGATGGCTATTTTGAAGAGTTATGTCATTATCATATTATTAAATCTGAGTTTAATCAGAGGTAAACCTAATTTGGCTAATATGGTGCTGGAAGAAGACTACGCTACACAGTGAATACACAAATTTCTCATCACAAACTTTGAGGTATCTACTATATGAAGTGCACATTCTTCTTAGTATAAGTCTGTTATAAGACTTATACATGGCACAGTGCTTCCATCTGACTGAAAACACACTTGAATGTCTTGCGATTAGTTACACTGACACTGACCTTAGCAGGGAGCAGTATAGTGTCCATTAATTGCTGTCGCACCTCCCTCAGGCCCCCCACCCTCTCCAGCCCAACTCCACTTGGGGTGTGGAGGTCGACACCCCACAGCGAGGGAGGCGTGAATCCCTTGAGAGCCTGCACGAAGTCCCGCCACGACAGACACACACCTGAGAGACATGAAGCACAAACAAATAATGTCAAAGTGGCAAATAAAGTAGCATTAGCTTGATTAGAAACATGAAGAACAACTTGAAAAACACCTGGAAGTCCAGTTTAAATAAACAACATGGAACTTTATTATGAATTCTATAATTTTAGTGTAGTGTAACCAAAGTCTTACCCTGGTCACTGTGACCTCTTTGTACAGTGTTGGCATGAATGGCCCGCTCCAAAAGTAGTACTAGGTCTTGCGGCGTGTATCCCTCTGTCTCCTTGGCAACAGCTGCCAGGTCTAGAGTCTGTAAGGTCTCCTCAGAGAGCCTGGTTTTTCTGAGGATCAGATGGCGCAGGATTTCTGCTCTTTGAGCCTGCAAACAATGGCAAACAAGATAGCTGTTGGTTTTGTACTTTTTACCTTTAGCAGTATGAACATGTCTGTGTGTGTATTTGTATGCTGACCTGGTCCGGTGGCTGGATCTGTGCGAAGCCCTGGATGAAGTGGGACCCCTGCACCTCGGTCAGGGAGGGATGGAGGGAATGCTCACTCTGGCTGGTGATGATCAGACACACCAGGCTGGAGTGAACCACCACCTCATCGACCACATCCTTCAGACCTGCAGCCACAAACAGGCCAGAGGAATCAGCATCAAGGCCCATAATAATTATCAATTCTGCCTGTGACAAATACATGACAACAGATATCCCCCCACACATACAAAATAAAGAATAAATGGTTTACTTTGAGCAATGTGCTGCTGCAGCAGTGCCTCAGGACCATGCTCATGTTCAGGTGAGGTTGGTGCCCCAGTCATATAGTCCAGATCATCAAGTAGAACGACTGAAGGCTGCCTCCATTCCGCCTGTTCAAAAATGTCATGCAGCATCTGTCTCACTGTTTCTGCCCTTTTGCCTGAAAAGAAAAATCACAATCTGCATGGTAAATATATTTAAAGTTTTCTTTGATACCAAGTATGTTCATGGAGTATCTGTTAACCTTGAAGTTTTTTGCAGTCCACCACCTCCACATGTGCATCCAGATGTTCTCTAGCTTTTCCACAGAGGGCTCGGGATAGAGTACTCTTCCCACTTCCCTGTGAGGATATGCAACATCACAGTATATGTTACAAAGCATACAAAACAATATTGTTAAGTTTAAAAATGCATTAAAATACAATACAAGGTTATTTTGTTGTTTGTCTGACGAGTTCAGGCTGACGAAACCAGCATCAGTTCTTTTTATTTACCATCTTTAAAGTGTAGACATGTCTGTATTGTGTACATAGCGGTATCATTATTATTATGATTATGTAGAGAGATACCTTAGCACCAGTGATGAGCAGAGCTCCTCCTTGTAGTCCCCGTCCAGTGGTACCAAGTTCTCGTGAGAGAGGGCTACCCAGAAGGCTGTGGGAGATGAACTCAAATCCAGTCCTACTGAGCTCATCGATCCCACTTGGGACAGACATAGGAGTGAGAGTTAAAGAGAGACATGAATGCTGATTATTTTCCAAACCACACACAGGCTACACACTTACCCAAGAACACTGAGGGAGGGCAGCTCTGGTTTGGGTGTTTCAGCTGTAGATTTCACAGCTGGCATGGTCACTGGCTCTCTGGTTACCTGTAGGTGACACATGGCAGCACAACAAAGGGTCTGACAGATTCTACTTTATCAATAATAATAAATAAATAAGATTATTATTGAGAAATTAGAACGACCTGTTATGTACCTGTATGTGTTCCTTCTGGATGACAGCAGGTGCTAATAAAAACAGCTGGTCTGGAGGGTCACTCTCTGGTTCTGGTTTCAGCACAGTTAAAGCAAACTCTAACTTTGCTATAAAGGAGAAAAATGGTGGGAGAACAGTAATTGTTCATTGCAGCAGAAAGTACAGCAATCTTAATGTGTTCATTATGTCATTTTTAGCCTCTATGGTGTTGAGTATATTGGTAATTTTATCATACTGCCATCTGTAAATTTGTAAAATAACTTGCAAAAGAGGAGTACAAATGAATCACCATCAGTTCCATGTAGGAGGATGTTGCCAGACCGTGCAGTCAGACAGGCTAAAGGTTCATGACTCTGAGTGTGCAGCCAACCAAGGAAAGCTGTCTGAATCTCCTCATCATCCTCCTCAGGCTGAAGAGAAAATGTGAAAGATCACATCGACATAAGGGAAAGACGCAAGCAGCTTTGACAATTTAGCTATTTGAGGACTAATAGTTGAATGAATCAAATGATAAAAAAAACACACATTGTGACCATATACGGCTACTCCAGCACTCACCAGTGGTATTAGGGGCTGTAAGCAAATAGAGGAGGCTACTTTAATAGCTGATTTGACTTGTTTAATTCTAACTGTTGAATGTGGGATGATGTTCAACCTGATGGCCAGGGGCTCAGGGATCTGAAAATCACAATTTGTGTAAGAGATATGACAGCACATAAAGAAGCAGAGGACTAAGCTACAATAAAAGTATCAGAGTTAATCTTAGATTAGAGTTAATAAATGAATCAACTACTCCTCTGTTAGAAAGCATACTCACCCACACTCTTCCACTATGGATCTCTCCCTTGCTGCGACTTCTTTCTTTGCCTGCCAGCTTCTCAGGACCATGACACACCACTCTGACCACCATGGCTTCCTTTTCTTTCATATCCTCCCCTCCATCCGCAACAGAATCAACTTTAGTAACTCCTGTAATCCTCTTTTTCTCCATGGCCTGCTTGGCTCGGTCCCTTGTTTCTTTAGGAGAGGGAACTTTGGACAGCATGCCATAAGTCACTGGAGGCTGACCTCCAGTTAACCCAGCATTCAACCCATGGCTCAGAGGAAATATGTGAATGACGGCAGTTGCAACATGGCTTATAGTGCAAAGAGAGGCTGGAGGTGCACCACACACTCTGTAGATAGAGTCAGTGAGGAGGGCAGGGACATCGGGTACAGGTGGAAGCTCTTTAACCGGGTCGTAAGTACCCTTTATCATGTAGCGTAGCAGGCTCTTCAGGTCAGCTATGCCACCCCACTGGTGGCTTTGAGGAACTGGGGATGTACTTTCCAATGATGGTCCTGAGGGGGAGGAAAGATCCATATTTTGTTGTCTGTGAAAATGCTGCTTCTCGTCAGTTCTAACTGGAGGACCACTCAGGTTGCCAGTTCCAGCACGGCTCTTAGGAGAGACAACTAGTTCTGTGAACTGCTCCAGGCGACCATAGGGCACAGATGGCAAAAGGGATGCTGCAGAGGGTTAAAAACAGATCACACTGATGAATACTGTCTCTGGATATGACTAATGCAATTTCAACAAAAAAAGCTTAACAAATGTTTCATTAATTAGGCTTAACTAATTTAAATCACACAATGTTTCAGGACTATTATATAATGTCAAATTAAATGTTTGATCTTCATAAATGTGTCTTTCAGAGCATTGACACAAACCACACAGGCAGAGTGCATATTTGGTATTGTTCTCCCTGTGAATTTCTCAGTTTGGAAGAAAGACAAGGCAGATTTAACAGACTATTTGCTACTGAAAAAAGATAATAATTATTGTATTAACTCTGACCTATTTGGATGTAGATGGCTGTGTGGCTGTCCACCCACACAGGAAACACACCATCCTGAAAAACCACTCTTATCTGATCCAACAGCTGCTGCTCCAGTGCGGCACTGTGGAGCTCCTGGGGGTGTGAGTTACAGAAAACAGATGATAAAATATTGTTTGATGTGGTTTGGGGTCACAAATCCATCTCTGGTGTAAAGCTTTATAGTGGGAGGCAGGTTTATTTCTGTAGCTTATTAATGATTGTTTTAACCTTAACGCTACAATGAGGAAGGGGATTGTTTGAATTTGATAATCAGTTGTACTCATGGGCTGCAAACTGTCCGTCTATAGAAGAAAGATTTATTGTTGGATTGGACATTATGGCATGATGTCATTCCACGAGTGTATACACTGACATGTTAATTAAGTTTTTTTACACAAGTAAGTAAGTACAGTGACCACCTGGCCAAGAGACAGCAACAGGAGGCAAGTAAAACATACATACAGCTAATGCAAAAAACAATAAAATTAAACTATACAGTTAATGAGTTAAACAGAGTTAAAACAGCATAATATACACAGTATGTACACAATAGAGATCGAAGTAGTTCCAGAGAAGTAGGTTCAAAAGCAGATGCAGTGATCAGAAACTAATGCATGAGCTGAGTTATGAAAGTGGGGTACCGGAATATGGGTGTGCAGTTTTATCAACTTTTCCAACTGGTTCCAGTCACTGGGAGTGGAAGACTGAAAAGAGTGATGGACGAAGGAGGTGCAGACTTTAGCGGTGTCCAAAGTAATGAATTTGCTAGAACGCAAATTGTGGTTACTGTTGGGAATGTTGAGTAGAGAATGGAGATTTGGAGAATGGAGTTTTATAATACCAGGGGATCTGATGCGTGGTGTAGAGTGATGGCCACTAGAGAGACAGGTTACAGTGATGAGTGTTAAAAAGGGGCACCTGTGACAAAGTGGATGGCTTTATGGTAAATGTTATGAAAGTAATAGTAACGTCTGTTATGATTTGGCGCAATATAAATAAAACTGAATTCATCTGAATTAAGTGAAATATTCTAGTACTCTTTCCATTCCATTATAAATTAAGTCACCACGCTCACCCACCAAGATTTCCCAGTCATCAGATGACAGAGGCTCCACAAACACTTGATGCACTGATGAGACCTGGTGACATGGTCTCAGAAAACCCTGAGGGAAACCACAACAGTCAGTCAATACAAACACCTAAGCCAGCCTAAACAGAAACAGTCAATGACTTTAAACTTAAAGACTGCCAGGATGTGTCATATAAAGATTATGGACTATTCAGCTTGAAAAATGGAGCACAGAGCAAATTGCCCACTGTGGAGACGTACCTGCTCTCCGTCTTTCAGGCCCAGCTTTTCTCCCAGTTGTCGACACAGCTCCACTTTATGGCTGTCCAGACTGGAGGAGGTTCTGTTCTGAGTCCAGCTGAGGAACACTGAAGATCCATGGCCCCAGGACAACTCCAGAGCCTGGTTCTGAAAACACACACACAGATTTCACTGTTGTGCTTTTTGATTTTCATTGCATTTAATATATTAAACCTCTGTATAATAATTGTACTGCTTTTACTGCCAGCAAACAGGTTCTTCTATATAATATATATATATATAATATATAATTCTCCACACCACCGGCCAAACATAAAAGCAGAAAGGCTTGTGCACCTGTCGTATGAACTACTTCATCTACGCCCCTTCAAACTATATCACACATTAAAACATAGTGTTTTTATCATTTATAAAAATGGTAACTGGAAAACAAAATATAAGACCAGGCAGTAACATACAGGCATTTAACCTCCTGTTCTATCTAAAATGTAAAGTTTTGTCACCACCAAGTGAGACTGCAGGGGAACTACTACAAACACAGTCAGAATAGAAGAACAGTGAAAATACAGATTATTGCACCACTTATAAGACAATGTTTCATATCTGCTCACCAACATAAGCTAATAATTAATGCCTGAATTGTTATTAAACACAAGGACAAACCACATGGATTAAATCTAACTACTATAACTTCCTGTCCTGTTGACGGATGTATTTTATATCAAATCCTCAGACAGGTCTCTCAGAAGATGTATTCAGCAGGGCTTATCATGGAGTCATCATGTGTCACTAACAACTTTATGCTAGAGAGCTCGTTGACAGCCTTGAGTAATGTATACAATATGAGTTATGTTTCCTACAAGGTCTCAGAAACTATCAGAGTGCAACATTACTTCTGTATTAAAGTAAGAAAATGCACAAGAATGTTCACAAACGCCAGAAACACTATATTTCGCAAACGGGCCTCCACATTTTGCTTGAACGTTGTTTCATCAAACTGAACTTCCACTAATAATAATAATAATATTAGCTCACACTAACAGCTGGATAGGTAGCTAAGATAACTTACCTCATTCAGGGAGAGATGCGATGTCAACTTCGAGGAGAGGTGAAGAAAGCAGTTTTTCGTGTTGTTAAAAACAACAGTTACGGGTTGAATGCCCTGATTACTGAACATCATTTCCACATAGCCTTACTAGCTCTGCAAATATAAGGCAGGTTGCTCCTGCTAACGCTAAATGTGCAACAAACTCATAGTTGATCGATGTTCTCTGAGTGTGCCCAGCTAGACCAGAGCAAGCGATCCCGACCACAACCACTTTTCAAAATAAGATACTACACATGGACTCGCAATGGATGCGTGCATATTCGAGAAAGAAAGAGCTCTTACTTTGAAGTGTCTCACTCGAAAAACACTTCCAGAAACATGGCGGCACCTGTTAGTAACAACTCAGGCTGTTGGGTCTCCCCAGAGGTTTATAAACACCACGAACAGCGGAAAGTATGCATTTCTCGACCAAAATATAGAGAGGGAAGGAAAGCGAAAGCTGTTAAGGTAAGAATATCATACGTATTAATAAGAAAACGTGTATCTAAAGCTATAAAGAGGGTAAACGACACGTCTAATAAATATAAATAACATAGTGTTGCAAATACATTGTAACGCAAGTGTGATCATACATGTCTTGTGTACCATCAGGTGTACACGATCAACTTAGAGTCTCGTTACCTGATGGTCCAAGGGGTCCCAGCCATTGGGGTGATGACAGAGCTGGTCCAGCTGTGTGCCCTGTACGGAGCCGTGGAGGAGTACAGGCCCCTGGACGAGTACCCCGCTGAGGAGTTCACGGAGGTCTACCTTGTCAAGTTCCAGAAACTCACCAGCGCCAGGTTCAGGATGTGACCTTACCTTATTATAATGCAGAGGCATTGCATATTGACTTTTCTTAATAATTCTGCTTAAATGTTTCTATTTCAGAGCGGCCAAACGACACATGGATGAGAAGGGTTTCTATGGTGGTGTGCTGCATGTGTGCTACGTCCCAGAATATGAGACTGTGGAAGACACCAGACTAAAGCTGCAGGACCGGAGGAGATACATCATCAGGGCTGTTCAGAATAAAGGTACACCTCACCATCATATATAGACTTACTCTTACAGAAAACACCAATAAACTGATATGTGAGATAGATTCTGCACTGTATATTGTTCTACTTTCAATGCACTTTTATTTAAACTAGCTCACTCATCCTTTATTGCACTCTTTATTGCTTTTAAAGCACTCATACGCTGCGATTTTTCTAGTAGTTTTTACAGTTTGAATGACATATAATGTAGAATGTGAACTATTTGCTGAAACTATGTTTTTGCTCTAATATTACTGTTATAAAGCAAGAGAAAAGCAACAGAAGGAGGCAGTAAACGAGGAGCCCTCGTCATCAAACACAGCCACCACATCAAAGACGATCATCACCAGACAGGATAAAGCCTCTGACAAAGATAATACATGGGAGACTTCCAACATTAGCCGTTATTCAAGCTTTCCTCTACTGCCTGTACCCCCCCAGGAACATCATTACTACGGACATAAAAGCGAACAGAGGACTATACCAACAGCGGATAAAATGGGGACATTACATAATGCCATCACTTACACAAAACAGCAGCCAGAAGAGAGTTTAAGCTCCATCCAAACCTCTTCAGACAGGGACAGAGGCACAGAACACAGACTGACCTCACATCAATCTTCTGCAGTCAGATTTGTCCCAAGGACCGCACACTTAGAGAACAGAAAACGCAGGATGGAAGAGGCTGCGGAGCTCTCGCTGACTGATGTTACTGGAAACAGTGAACCACTTATTGGACCAAAGCTACCAGAACCACCTAAACTAGACATGGAGGATGAGTCACTGAACACAACTGTCAACCTGATCAGGAACACACTGAAACAGGTAGACTATAATCTGATGTTTTCATGGAAATTCAGAATAAAAAAATATTCACTGTTAGTCAAAATGCTTTTATTCATGTAAGTAAAATCAGTTTTCTTGGTGGATCTTTCTCAGGTGGAATCGATTCCTGACCTCAAACCAGTGCAGAAAAAGCCGAAACCTCGTCGTCGGATTTGATCAAGCAAGCTGCCTCGATGGACTGGACAGATTATACTGCTACTACAGTTTCACTTGGCAGCATGTTTTTATTTGCAAATTACATCACAGTGCAAAAGCTGTTAACATTTCTATTAAAGAAAATATAGATGAAAATGCACATGAATATCATTTATTCATTGATCCAGTTGTTCCCGAAATACATGCTGCTCAAATCTCTCAATACTCTAAAAACAGAAGAAAATGGAAAGTAAGGTTAGGTTAGGTTAATTTCTGTCTTAGAAATGTAAGTTGTTACAGTTTTTCATCAGTGTTTTAAGTTGTGATTACCGTGGTGTCAGGGAGGCAGTTTCCAAAAGCCTCAAGTAATAGATTCTCCTCTTTCACTGCCTTTTCAAAATCAGCAAAAGATAGCCTGCCATCATGGTCATGGTCCTACAAAAAAAAAAAATAATAATAATGTGCAGCCAGTAGTGATACATTTTAAGATGTGTACAGATATTTTAGCTTATTACCCCCTGAAACACTAAAATCTGAAGTTTGTTTGGAGGTTTGAGGAGGTAGTGCAGAGAGAAGTAAATCAAGGTTTAGTGGGCCAGCTGCATCCATCTTACCATCTTCTTGAGCGTGATCTCCACCAGGTCTTTGATTCCTTCGTCAGGGTCCTCATCCGTGGGCTGTCTGATGAGGCTGTTCTTCAGCAGGTGAAACATCTCCTCTCTGGAGATGTAGTTGTCCCCATTCAAGTCAAACACATTAAAGCAGTCTAAGCAATGCAAAGAACAAAAAGGTTGTTACCGGTATAACAGCTTGAAACTGATTTTATATGTGTGGGTTGAGAGCTTACATTCAATTTTTTCATCCAAGGTGCCTCGAAGTAAAACAGACATTCCCTCAATCCATTCGTCTACACTGACAAAGCCGTCGGGGTCTCTGTCAAATGTCCTGAAGACTGGTGGACAGATCATCAGTAACATTCAGAACATGTCCAGGTTACCAAACAATCACCAGACTCATGCATCCATCCTGCACACTCGTCTCAATCAAAGTGCCAGAAGGAGTATCGATCAGCAGCAGACAGGAATACCTCCATCCATGATCATGTCGTCGGTCATTCCGAAGATGTTGTGCAGAATGCTCCTGAACCCCCCTCTGTCCAGGCCGTGAGCTGCTCTTCCAGGGATAGGCGACTCCCCCACAAGCACGTTGAACTCCCGGATGAGACACTCAATCTCTGTTTTATTGACTGGGGTCGTTGAGATAAAAGCTATGTCAGCTGTGTGTTGTTCATAGTTGCACGGCAGCAGGTAGCGTCAATTAAAAACAATACGACCTTGGAACAACAGGCTACATTAGCAGAAGAAAAAACACGTTGGATAAGTTTTAACTGAATACTCACAGTGCTGCACTTGTTTAGAGATTGTTTCAACGAGAGTTTGTATCAACTTTCGGTTCATCGCAGACATTTCCGACACTTTTAGGAGTTGGGACACCGGACAGACACAGCGCGAGCCCACCGACAGCCGCGATGTTTACATTCCGTCGCCACGGCAACCGCCTAGCCTCGCATTCAAGCCTGCACGACTCAAATATGACTGTATAGAAAATACATGAGCTAATTTATGTTATAATAATAATAATAATCTGTGATTTAGGTTGCATCATTTACATTAACAGCTTATAATAAGGGTACAAATCATATAGTTATATAGTAAGTATTATATAGTAATTCTTAATTAATGCATAAAGTAATGCTGGATGTTGCATGAAACTTTATTCCAGAACCATGTATTTGCTTAGCCTCTCTGAAAGCAGGACAGTCCTGTTCTGATAGAAATATAACACTTTTTTTTTCCAGATCAGATTTGAAATCAGATGAAAACATTCACAGTTACATAATTCAACTGTTATGTAACTGAAATCCAGCTAACTTGGTATGGCAGCTTCAGCATTGCCAGAATATTGAATATAAACAAAATTCTAAATGGAAATAAATAATATCTTAATTAAGGTTAACATAAGAGTTTATTAACAAAGTCTACATCTCAGTACCGAGCTTTGAGCTACAGGAACCAGGAACTTAGATCTGACTTTTAAGCAGTTTAACCTCTGCATCATCTTCAGTCAAAGATGTTAAGAGACACTATACAATGTGGGGAGAATATATACCACCTGGAATGTATAAAATATCAGGATTTTACATATTAAATCATATTTGATGCTCAAAATCAGTTTACAATTATTAATTCACAAACAAAGAATGATTAATGATGAATCACAACTATTAATTGTAACTCGTGATTTTCCCATCACCAGTCATTCTATACAGGAAGAGCAGATTTACTATCTGTCCCCAGAAAACTGAATTTTACTTTACGCCAACTGAACCTCGTCTTTACACACTCTTCATTTCACCTGTGTGTACAGACATGTGTTTTGTCATCAGATTATTTCGACTGAACCTCTTCCCGCACACTGTGCAGCTGTAGGGTTTCTCTCCTGTATGGATTCTCATATGTACGTTCAAGTTGCCCACGTGGCGGAACTCTTTTCCACAAATCCTGCAGCGGTATGGCTTCTCTTCCGTGTGAATCCTCATGTGCACAGTCACACTGTTGCCATGTCGAAACTCTTTACCACACACTTCACAGATGAACAGTTTCTTACCTGTGTGGATTTGAGTGTGTCTGGTTAGATGTGCGATGTGGCTGAATTTTTTGCCACAGAAACGACAGCAGTAGGATTTGCCTCCTCTCTTTGCCTCTTTATTTGGTGGAATTGGGCTGTGTGGTTCACAACTTTTAGTCAGCTGGTTTCTCCCTGTGTGGCTCTGTGTGTGAACTTTATTGATACTGTAGCCTGTCAGTGTTTCTAAACTCAACTCAGGCCCTATGTTATTCAGAGTCACCAAACAATCTGGAGTCCAACATTCACTGCTTGGCTGAAGGTTTCCCTTAACCTCTCTGTGGTCACCTGATGTGTCAGGCTTTCTGTCTTCATTCCCTGTGTCATGAGTTTGTAACTCAGTCATGTCTGAGAAAATGCAACTCTTCATGGAGGTGGAGGTCACTTTCGAAGGGCTGGTATCAAGGTCCTCCATCTCTGGTAGCTGTGGTCTTCCTGGACTCCATGGCTCCTGCTGTTCCTGTTTGATTGCTAGAGGTTCTGGGACCAGCAGACCAAAGTCCTTGTGGCCCACACTAGGGTTGCTGTGGTCACTCTCAGGACTGCACTCCTGCTTGTTTTTCCGGTCATGACAGACAAAAATCTGCGGTGTCTCTATTAGGAGGAAAAGGTGAGAAATGTGCTTGAACTCATTACAGTTTCCCTTAATTTCAGCACTTATTCATTTCAAACACAACACACAGTCTACTTCCAAAACTCCATAATATTCTTTATATAATTATTTTTTGGGGGGGGAACATCCTGTTGGCCTTAGGGTTTAAGACACTGATAATTTAATCACAACGTCCCCAGTTTGAGATCGTCCAGGAACCTCCATGTTATCCCCCACCTCTCCCCTCATTTCCTGTCAGCTCCCTACTGCCTCTTGTCTAATAAATACATATTATTTGCATTTAATGAAAGCTATACAGTGTATATCCTATATAGCAGCGTACAATCAGCCCTCAAACTGCTTCACTCTTCACACCAGCAGAGAATATTAGTTTGTTCAGTATGTTCTGATCAAAGACCAAACAATTCAATTAAAAGAACGATGCATATAATGTACAGTATATGATGATTACAAGATTAGTGAGATTAGTGAATTTCGTTTCTTTGTTGTTGTTTTTTTTGTTTATGATAAACTTTTTTTTTTTTTTAAATGGACCACTGATTTAGCATTGCATTCCTAACATTGTCGGGTATAAACTCTGTTCAACTGTATTGCATTATACTTAGATGTGCTTATTTAGCACAATCACTACAGTTCAACAGCACCACTTTATACAACTTAAAGAACAGACTATGATGAGTGAAATCTGTGGTGTTCCCCTTAGGACTGCTTTATTACCTAACAAATGATGAATAAATGTATAAAGCAAACCTTCACTGTGTAGATGCACTTCTTGTCCATGCTGATCCCCTCTGTGCTCTGTTATCGACCTCTGCACCGCTGCAAAGATCTCCTCTGCAGCCGCACTCAGCCGCTCGCTGATAAACAGCCTCAGCAGCTGCATCTGAGACATCTTCAACCACTTTCAACCCTCACCTACAGCACAGTGTCAACGGCCACAAAAATGTAAGGCGACTACATCCTGCTACAATCTTCAAAATTAAAGTGTTATTGCATGAGTTAATTGGGTTTACGTGTGGTGGGCTGCAAACAGTTCACAGTTTTACATGATCATTGATTATGTGATTTTAACGGATATAGGCCTATGAATAACTATAAATACATAACTGACTGGGCCTAAATTGAACCTGCAGATATCCCAAAGGCTGCACATTCATTGCCACTTAATTTGCAGTAAACTCAAATTTAAAAATATTTAAAGGATCACATAGAAATACAGGCTCCTAAAGCTGATCTATTATCTAATCAGTCATAAGTGAATTAATTAATCAACAATGAATTACAAGGATTAAGACTCTATGGACTCCATAGACTTTATTTTGGAAGCCAAACAGTCCTACTTCCGGTCTCTTTCCAACTTGAAGAAGTTAAGATCGCCATCTGCTGGACAGGAGCTCTGGCTCGTATAATAAACACTTTGCTCCACTGTCTTTTCATTATAAATGGTAGGGTTTATACCTGATGTAAAACTGTTTGTATTTATGTAAAAAAAAAAAAAAAAAAAAGGCAAGTACAAATTACAGGATACATTATCTTCTCTTCTTGTGCTCTTCGCCTTATTCTGTGCAGAATAAACCTCTGTGGGAGAAGTAAACTGTAGAGAGCAAAGTATAAAATCTGACCACAAGGTGGTAGTCAGCTATTTCATAAAAAGGAAAGAATGAACACATGCAACAGCAAGCCTTTGTTATTCCATCCAAGTACAGTAATGACCCCTACAAATCGAATTATTAGTGTTATTATTAATTATTGGGGTGAAAGTGATGAGGCCAATTTTTCCCACATGCTCCAGAAAAAGAGTTTTGGAACTAAAGTTGAAATAAATATGTTGTTTTTAATTTATTAAAGGTATCTCTCCATCCTTGTCTTTTTAATGTAATATTTTAATTTAGTCAGTAAATACAAACACTGGATGAGTTATCAGTTCAGGTTTGATATTTAATTAATAATCTACAATGGATTACAAATGCATTTTTGTCATATAGGACACAGACTGAACCACAATATACGAGTAAAACATTTGAAATGCAGACAGATTTCGTTTTCTAATCTACGCCATTAATTCACAATATTGCACCACTACTGCCTCCTCTGTGTGTGTGTGTTTGTACATACGAAAAACTGAAATAAACAGAGTGCATGTGTATCATTGTGACAGAGAGGTTAAATGTGCTGATGTGCTGAGGGTGTCCTTTCAGTCCAACCATTGCGTGAGCATGCGTACGAATGTGTGTTTGTGTGTCAGTCGGACCGGTGTGCAAGGTTAGTTCTGATTGGTAATGTTATGTCAATCCAGTGGTTTGGGTTTTGGATCATGGAGGTCCACACAGCAACTTCATCTTCTGTGGAGTCCATCCAGCTGACGGCCTCCCCATAACTCTGACCTGCCATCAAAAAATACAGTTATTCAGTATTGAAGACATACAGAAATCCTCACCAAAACCCACAGAGGAATATGGAAACATTACCTACAACTGACCACTGTTCCTGTATGTATGTGCCCATATTTACATATACTGTATATCCTGATGAAAGGCATAGGATCAGTGTTCATGTTCTACCTTCAGTGCAGACACACCTGTGGAAACAAATGATTCTACCAATAGACTAAAATCCAAGAGACAATGCCTGACAGTGTACCCCGAAAGTGTACAGAAGTCGGGCCTGTCTCTGAATACAATTAACCTTATGATGAGAATCTGTTTACAATAAGCAAACTGCATTAAAGTTGTCACTTTCCAGCACTGACATTATCTTCCTTCATGAAACCCACAAGTCACCCTCTGCTGCTCTATCAGTGGTTTGATCTTGAGTGCTACACACTCTTCGTCAAGTACAGTAATATCAACTATGAGCAAAACAATACCATCAATATCAAGGCAAACTACTCCTCAACAGCTAAAGTGTTTTCCACGTTGCTCACACATACAACACTCTCTGGTGACCAAGGAATGACCTTGCTTTGATGACATGACCATGTGAAATGCCTGAAGTGCCAACAGGACAAAATGCAACACAATGTGAAGTACTGGAGTGAAACACTGTCACCATACTACTGTGCACCACTGGAAAAACTGCTTCTATGGCACCATACACAAAGCTGACCAGAAAATAAACCAACCAATCAAACAGCCAACAACAAAAATATATTCCAGATGTTATTAAAAAATAAAACAGAAAAGAGCTAACTACGTGTTTCAGTGTTGCTTCATCAGATTCACTATATGCTTAATTGCCATCAGGTGTGCCTTTAAGTAATTGGGTTCTCATTAACAGTTAATCCAACCAGTTTAAATTTCAATAAAATACATTAAGTAATAGCAAATATAATTCTACCATAAAAACATTACATTTACAAAAGACAATGACATACAATTCATATCAAAAAAGAAAAAACTGCCTATTCCAGTCAGTATATTTGCCAATCTTACAATACTACAGTACATCAACAATACACAATTTCCATCAGATAAATACAGAAATACAAAATATATGAATTACTAATAAGATACATATCAAAAATGGGTATAAGAAATATATTATAAAAAAGAGAATGCTATACAAAAGGTCTCGCATAATAATATGTATCAGAAGTAGGATGAGAGAAATCCTAAGAATAGATAGTGGCCTAAATATATCTGCCTTCACAAGGGAGGTTTCAAGCAACCCCTTTAATGTCCCATCCCCTGATGTAGAAACTGCTCCCCTCCTACAAGCCTACTAAATGTCAGGAGACCCATGAGATCGCATTGATCCCTAATCACAGCTCAGCACAGAAAATGGGAGGCAAAGCTGAATCTCAAAAGGAGATGTGGGAGCTTTTATTGATCATCTTGTAAACCTTTTGCCATACCAAGACAAACATATGAACAAAAGCACACTGCCAACAACACCCTGAAACCGACAGCTGCTTGATAAGAGATAAGATAACACCCTCCACATAGACCAGATTGACACCTGCAAGGACTGCAGCACAGGAGAACAAATACTGCCCCTAATTACCAATTACTGATGGCTGATCAGGCCTGTGTAACCCGGCACAGAATTTTAAGCCTTGATGAAGGTCACTTTGGCTAAATGGTGGGACTGGAAACTGTCGAACATGAATAATAGCGTGTAGAGACACTCACCAGTTCCACAGCTCAGACGAATCCCTCCTAAGATGTGTGTTTTTAACCCATCGCGCTGCCAGACAGTTAGCTCAGCGCAGGCCTCTCTCAGGTCGCTGGTGTGGAAGCCATCATACACCATGGTGTGGTTGTACGTAGGGCTGATGGAGCGCTTCACCATCCGCGTCTTCTGACCACTCTGCCGACTAGCATCTGGGAGTATGAAGCTTGTGGGGTGAAGAGTATAATTATATTATGATCAAACCAGACTTCAGTTAATTCATTGATATTGTGGGTATATACACAAAGGTTAGATGTTAGAATTAAATATTTGGCAGTGTGTGTGTACAGTAAATACCCCGTTTAGGTTCTTAAATTGTTTGCCTCTCCATGTGTAAGAGAGTAAAGGTGACTGTTTGGCTAACAAGATGTAAACACAACATTAACATACTATAAAGCTCTTATGCCAAACATGTTAGCAAACAGTTCCCTATTGACACACCCAACAGACACACAGCAGCATTATGATTCATTTGGAGTCGTGTTTCTGGCGATCATCTGGCAAAGTACAATATTCACTCTTCTTTTAGTTCTGGTTTGGTCTCCACCAACTCCTGATATCTTTTAGCAGCTGAATGTTCTATTATGTTTACCAGCTAGTTGCTAATTGTCTGCCATTTGGTGTGGATATTGTGTAATAACACTGCATTATGTAATAACTGGACAAAATGTAATACATTTTCACTTCATTATGTTATAATCTGCCACATTGTTCTAAACAGCATTAACACAATATGTGATACATTTACCCGTTTGGTATTGAATTATTACATATTCTGGTGGTTAAAAAAAATGTAAGAAATTAAACATCCCAAATACTAAATTAGACTATGACCTGTGGTGCCCCCCTTGGCTTTACAGTTGACTCTGATGTTAGTCTAAATAGCCACATAAAAGCACTAACTAAGATCAGCTTGTTATCAAATACAGCAAAACTCAGGGACTCCATGTTGAATGCCAATCTCGAAAAAAGTACAACTCCCACATTCTGTAATAGCTATAATATGTAATAATTACAAAATGTGGAATAATGCAACAGATTGTTACATAATGTGGCGTTATTACATTTGTTTGTTACAAGCCTTTTTGCTGCAGTTAAAAAAGAGTCCGATGAGAGTGACAAGAATAAATATACACAATTGTGGGTCGTAACAGCTAAACAACAAGACGAATGATGCTGAAACACTCTCAAGTCAAGTGATAATTATGTGTGTTCATGACTACAAATAATCTCTTTCACAATACACACAGCACTCTGACTTATTCTTAATAGAAGGTGGATAGTTGTGATAACTTACTGATGAGTTGATATGTCCTGTTCTACAAATACAATTGTTGCCATGATGGATAACTGATGACAAAATATCAGGAAATATGTTACAGAACTGACACACCTTCTAACAAAGGAGTCTATAGGGCCCCCTTTGTTGGACAGAAGACCTTGAGCTTCACGAAGCCAAATGTGAAGCTCTCCCGTCAGAGGCAGACCACCACCTTAACACACACACACACACACACACACACACACAAAATGTATGAGACATATGTGATTGGGTAGGACACAACTTGCATCTATGATGTGTGTGCTCTGCTCACCCTCAAATCCATCTGGGATGAACTTAATAGAAAGCACAATGGTCCCACGACTGCTAATGGAGTCTGGACTCATACTAACCTGTGATAGAGGGCAAAGGGGGGAGTCAAAAAGAGAAAAAGATAAAGGCAGAGGAGAAGCCGCCGAAAGAAAGAGACCAA